AGACATGAGAGAATGGAATATCCTGGAAGAATGTCAGCCTTAACCCCTCAGGAGCCCTCAATGTGGGGGATGAATATAAAATATTCATTCTAGGATTTGGACTATGAAGATTTCAGTTCATTGTGACTTTGGGTGTGTCACACAGGCGGCAGGAGAGAAGGTGATGAGTAATGTAGTTACTGCTGTTAGAGTTATAGTTATTATTTATTGCCTACATGTGACCTCTCTCCCTTGACCATTCCAGTTCCTGAGGCAGTGAGGGAACAGCTGCTGTATCTTTAAAATCACAATCCCTGTAACCTGTCTTTCTCATTCACTTCATAGGTTTGGTACCCATTCCCATGGACTTTTTAAGAAGTTGGGAATTCCTGGGCCCACGCCTCTCCCTATTCTAGGAAATGTTCTCTCTTACCGCAAGGTGAGTTTTTGAACCCCATCTTTTGCTTCCTATGTCTGTAAACATCACCTTAGTTCTGTCATAAAAGATGCTCCTCCTCAGGCTGAAGTTCTGGGGTTTTACAATGCAGAAGTGAAGACCCTGGGCCGAGGATCCCCAGGCTTACCTCAGAGCTCTGTTGTCTATTCCTGAGAGCCTCAGGTTTGTGTCAGTAGAACAGCCCAGGTCTCTGGCAGCTCAGGACTCAATGTTCAGGACTTGATGTTCAGATTGTGTGAGCAAAGTCTTTTTGCCTAGTGCATATTCACAGGAAGGTGCAGTCATCCTCGGTATTAGGAGAAATGCAGGAAGGGAGACCCTAGAGGCTCATTTAGCTTGTGCACCAGATCCAAACGGTCTTCTTTGGCAGGGGCTATGCAGTAGCATTTTTGTCCTTCCTCTAGCATAGCTTGGAGACTTCAGTTTATTGGACATCCCAAGTAGTCACTACCAGGTAATTTGCACCTACTTAGATTTTCTCAAGAACTACTAATAACTTAGGGGTACTTGCAAGCTGCACCCCAGATTTTGTTACCCATAGTATATTTTGTAAATTTTTTTTTTATTAAGCCAGGTATACTTAGATCATGAATACATTTATACCTTTGTGGGGTTCAGTGTGTTGATTATTTGTACAAATTCGAGTGCTTACATCCTCCTAATTAACATAGCTTTCACCTCATTTACTTATTCACAGTGTTAAGACATTTGTGTTCAATACTTGATAGATTTAACTTGTACCTTTGCAATATGCTCCATAGGTGTGCTCCCACCTTTAACCCTCCCTCTATAGAACTACTCCCCTCCCTTCCCATACTCTTTCCCCTCCTTCCTTCCTCCTGGGCTATTACATGGATGGAGCTGGAAAATATTCTTCTTACTAAAGTATCTCAGGTATCTAAAAAAAATATCCAATGTACTCGGTACTACTATAAAATCAATTTATAATCACTCACACTTTCATATGAAAGATGAATCACAACTATATTTTGCAAATTTACCAGGCAGAACAAGAGAGTTCTGCTTTGCTTCTTTTCCCTCAAAGATCTCCTCTGGGTGAGTCAGAGCAGGGGGTGGGTATGACTGAGATAGCACTGTGCTTGTCCATGCTTAACTATACAATGAATTTTGTTGTGTTTTGGTTTTTTTCAACAAAGGCAAACTTGCTTATGTAAATCACTAGAAAGGAATATCACCAGAAAATTACCAAGAATTTGACTTAACTATTATAGGTGTCATATGGACTAATGATTCTTCATCCAGGACCTGGCCCCTGGAAAGAAAGGAATAAGCCCATATCCACAAAACCACCAGCAGCTAAACCCATGTGCAGGTAGCTCTCTGACCCAGATTCCTTTCCCACACACCATAGGCTCGTTTCTTGAAATTCTTCCAATTCAGCTAATTATTGCCTAAGATTCCATATTTTTTACTTCTGCAAAAGCAATAATTTCCTCTTCACTCTTCTCTGATCAAACCATTAGGAAATGTACCCCAAGATCCGTGTATTTGAGATCTCTTTTTGCAAAGTTAAAATATCACAACTGTAACTAGGCAACAGAAAGATTTGGTTTTAAGCTTCAGAAGTGAAAACGTGGAGCAAGTATTATAATTTGCTGTGTCCTGTGTGAAGAAATTGCATTACCTGATCTTTTCCATGTTGAACTGGACAGTGGGAGGGGAGTCCACTTTGTCATTGACTCAGCCACTCATTTTCTTACTCAACAACATGCCTTAGACTTATATAAATCTTCTAGACCAAAAGAGGTTCCTGGTGTCTTTAACTTCCTCATTCCACTAGAATTCTATAGAGACCTTGTGAGACTGATGAACAGGATGCTGAAAAGGAAATGAAAGAATGTGCATTCCCTCAGCCTCAGTGTCCTTATGCACTCATGGAGGTGTTAACTCGGAGAGTCATAGGTGTAGAAATAATACATGCACAAGCACAGCACTTCCAACATATAGGGGGTTATTTAGTATTCATAAACAAGGGTAAGTCATTCTATATCCCATTGCAATTATCTCCTCTGTTTCCCCCCACTTCTCCTAAAACATTTCAGAACAAGAGGTTTCCTCTAACTGCCAGTGAAACATAGTAAGACTGACCTGTACAGATCCACTTTTTTTGCCCTAATTACAGGTAGGATTGAGTACATTGGAAATAATAATCAAGTTTTATTTTGTTTCCTCTCCCAGGGATTCTGGAAATTTGATGAAGAATGTTACAAAAAGTATGGAAAAACGTGGGGGTGAGTATTCTGGAAATTTCCACTGCATAGCTTGCTGCTGTGATGATGCCCTCACTGCACACAGAACAATCTCAGCCCTCTTGGAATGAAGCCGTTGTCAGACTAAATAACAAAGATAGAAAGGTCCTCTCAATGAAAATGGGAGTTCTTTGGGAATAAAGCATTGCAATGGGAATATGCATGTTATAGTAAACTATATGCTTATTTGGAGAAGCAAAGGGGAAAAAAAAGTTTTTAAAGGAAAAAATAGTAGGATTACATAACTATCTTGAAATACTTATCTTTAGCTATAAAGTTCAATGATAAGTATAAACCAGTCTGAGATTGGACAGGAACTTACGGGGCAGCTACCTTTGTAGAAGTACTTTTATCTAAGAATACTTATGGTCTTTCTGCAAGGTCATGTTTTTTGTAGAATATTTCATGCCAATTTTGTTTTCAGGCACAGAAACTTGAAATGCTCTCTTCATAGCCTTCACAGGATTCTATGTCAGGTTTTATTTATTTTTATGACATCAGAGACTGTTTTGATTATGACAACTTTCCTACTCTCTATTGCAAAGCTTTTGGAGCCTTATCCTGCCCAGAATTCCATAGGTCACCAGGTATTGAGGTGTGCAGGCTGAGAACATTGCAGGTTACCACTTTTCCCCCAGGCTTTGACGGTCCATGGACACCACGTGTCACTTTCTGTCCATTGCCTGGCTATTCACCTCTTCTCCTTTTTTCCTACCTTAGGTCAACTTTAATTGAATAAAATACATTATTTCACACTCTTCTAATATGTATTCACAAATGAGTGATATTACCTCCTTCCCACGTTGATTAGCTTTTAATTAAAAACCAAATTCTTAAATTTTTAGATTTTAACGTATGTTTTTGAAAGAAGAGCTGGAGATAGAGATAAACAGATTGGGAAATCATTTATACTCTGCTTTTCTTTCTCTGTGACTACAGAACTTTGTTTTGTGTTGTTTTTGAAATTTAAGCTTAGATGTTTAAAGAGCAATGTATACAAGTGTATGTCTATGACATCCTACTAACACTGAAGAAGAGATACAGATTATCCTAAATCCCTGAGTTCCTTAGAGGGCTGATGCACATTATGACTTTAGGGCCATATGACTGAGGGTCTACAGCCTCAGCCAACTGCAGAAACTGTTCCCTTCAGAGCTGCAGGTGATTTGGTGGGAGCAGCAGAAAGTGCACCCTGGGTCTGTGCACTACCAGCAAGTGGGAGAAGGTTCTCTTCTTCCTGCCTCTTAACAAAAGGTTTCTGGTTATTTATACTTATGACCTTTCAGAAGAGATATTTTGTGTTTAAAATGTCTCTTTCCCAGTTGAGCCATGTCACCCTTCATTCTATGAAGCCTCCATTTGCTTCTGTGGTCAGAATCTTGCTGTATGTCCTTCCCTAACTTGAACTGGGACCTAATGTTGCTGTGTAGTGTACAACTAGGGCTGTAGATGAAGTAATTTCAGGATCAAAGTCTAGATTCCTGTGTGTGGCTTCAGATGCAGAATCAGCACTTGAGGTTTGTTTAATCAACTCTATTTTCCTAACACAGGTTGTATGATGGTCGACAGCCTCTGCTGGCTATCACAGACCCTGAAATGATCAAAACAGTGCTAGTGAAAGAATGTTATTCTGCCTTCACAAACCGGCGGGTAGGTGTCCGTGTTTTAATTTTAAATTCTGATTTGTTTATTTATTAAACTTCTATCTTGAAATACTAATACAGTCATAGAAATTTGTCAAAAAAATGTACAGGAAGTTTCCATGGACACTTTTTCCTGTTTCTGCTAATGGCAAAACCTCACATCACTAAAAATGTAGTATTTGCCTGCTACTGTAGTTAAAGGAAATTCATATTGATACAGTTCGCAGAGCTTTTTCACCTGCCCTCAGTGTTATGTGCCCTCATTTTTGTGGTGTATGTGTGTGTGTAGCTCCATGCAACTTTCTCACACTGGCAGATGTGTGTAACCAGCAGCACCATCAGGGCTCAGAAGGGTTCCAGCAGCATGAGGCTCCCTCCTCCTGTCCTTCCACAGTCATGCTGCCTGGTCTGCCCTTTTCACTTAACAAGTTCTATTCAGAGCAAAGGTATTTTCCTGTTTTTCAATTTTGAGTGGGCCATTTTATTAATATTTCCTTTTATGGATTGTGCTTTTGGTGTCAAGTCTGAAAATTCTTCCTCCAGCTGTCCTCTACTGTTGTTGCTTTCTCTAAAGTTTACACAGTTGTATCCTTTGCAGTTAAGTCTTTGATCTATTTTCTGTCAATTTTTGTATAAGGCATGAGGTTTAGGTCGAGTTTCGTTTTGTGGCCTATGGTTGTCCAATTGTTCTAACAGTATATTGGAAAGAGTGTCCTCCCTCCACTGAATTGCTTTTCGCACACTTGTCAAAAATCATTTGGACCTAGGCAAGTGCATCATTTCCCATTCTCATTCTGTTCCACTGATCTCTCATTCTCTGTTCTGTTCCACTGGTCACTGTGTCTATCCCTACTCTAGTCCTATACTGCTGTGACTGTGGTAGCTGCATAGTAAGTCTGAACAGCAAGTAGAGTGATCCCTCCAACTTTATTATTTTCCCAGAGGTCTTCCTGCAGTTTCTTCATTAGAAAATACAATTACTCTTTTCTCTATCCATGGGGAAAAATAAGAGAAGAAGGCTTTCCAGTGATTGTATTATTTCTAAAAAATAGTTTTGTAATCTTTTAAGTATTAACTACTATTTTAAAAAATCACCAAATCAAGGTATCCTTTTTCAAATTGCTCATATTATGATATCAGTAAAGACAGAACTACTGTGAGGCAACACATTCTGCCAAGCCTACTGGGTGAACTGTCATGGCTCTCTTCCTTCTCTGCACAGCCCTGGAGCAGATACAGGCCTTCGTCCCCTCTATTACATTGGAGGAACAATTCCCTACCAGGGGGATCATTTGCATTTAAAAGATGACTCAAATATAGAGGCTGGAAAGCATACCAGGTGACTGGGTGACCTCAGACACACATACACACACAAACACACACACATGTGTGTGCTCACAGGAGGTGAAGCATTTGGGATAAATCTACATTAATACCCAGCATGGGGTCTGCCACCTTTTACAAAGTCACTAAATAGTTATTAAGTAAGTGATGTCTGTTTAAACATTTCTACATGTGTGGAGATGTGCAAGACTAAGAAATAATTGTGATCTCCAAGACTTATATGGGACGATATCTTTTTGATTTAAATTATAGCCTTTTGGTCCAGTGGGATTTATGAAAAGTGCCATCTCTATATCTGAAGACGAGGAATGGAAGAGAATAAGAGCATTGCTGTCTCCAACCTTTACCAGTGGAAAACTGAAGGAGGTAAGAAAACAAAAGAATTAGAAACTTAAAGAATGAATCTGGGCACAAGGCAAAAATAAAATCATAGCCTCTTTGTGGGAGGTAGTGCACTAAGGTTAGGCTTGCTACAAATCGCCTTTTATCTTTATGTCTAGAAAAGTCAATTGCAAAATTCATTATAAAATGTCACTATTCCATGCTAGGGGCAAGCAACGCCCTTCTGGGACTTGAGTCTGCTCACTTAATATGTGTGGTGTTGTTTTGTGCTTAGATGTTCCCCATCATGAGCCAGTATGCAGATGTGCTGGTGAGAAACCTGAGGCAGGAGGCAGACAAAGGCAAGACCATCACCTTGAAAGAGTGAGTAGGAGCACAGTCTTGGGGTTCTGTGCTGCCGTGAGACCCTATAGCTGTCTGCCATGGGGCTGATATTCCCACTACTAAGTCACTTCAATAACCACACAGAAACAGGATGTGTGTGGTGTTACCTCTCCAATGGGCCACCCAAGAAGGGGCAGTTTGCATAGAAGCCAGGGCAGCTAGAAATAGGGAAGTGTCTTCTCCCCTGTGCATAGGATCCAGGAGGAATTAATCTCATGAAGTGTTGTTTGAATATTCCGGAAGACAAAATACATAGTTTAGAAAGAAGAAACATGACTGCACCAGAGATTTAGCCAGGGAGCATATGGAATGGTGAGAGGGCAAGTGGCTTGTTACCTGTTGGCTGACAGTGAACTGGGCAGAAGAGTGACTGTGGGAGATTTGGGAGAATGTAAATCTTATCATGGTTTTACTGAGGATATCACCAGACTCTAAATATTAAATCTTCCCCCCATTTCTGCTTCCTCCAATATTAAAAGAGAGAGGGCTCTGTAAAAGCTATTTGTAGGGGACCACTATCATTTAATGTCTAACCTGACATATTTCTGAATTATGCAGGATTGATACGTGTACACTGACACTGTCCTGGGCAGAGTGGGGACATGTGGTCATTCAGCTATGAGATTCCTCCAGTCAGTTTGGGTGGGATCTATTCTTTTGTCATTTTTTTTTTTACCTTAGAAAATTCTGAATTCTTACCTTCTGTAGAAATGCTTCTATAAAAGGCTAATACCAGATGACAGGATTTGAGGAAAGGGAGCCTTGCGAGAACCTCAGCAGGGAATATAAGGAAGAGATGCTGTTCATGGCAACTCAGAGCAGGGTGTTGCTGGTGTATAAAGTGCTGAGGAGGAAGCACCACTGTGCGTCTCTCTGCTGAGGCAGTGTGTCCTCTCTTCAGTCAGTAGGATGTTAGTTATTCCACTCCTATCTACTGAAGCACAGTGTAAACACGCCTTTATTATTCTCCACACTCAATACACACTACTGTAGTTTGTCTGACTCTGGGTCTCTGTTCCCCTCTGAGTGACCTCCTTGAACTCAGAGGTGGGTATGATACACCATAGTGTCCCCATCAGTCCCAGAACAGGGCCAGCTGCATCACTGGTACCTGATAACAACACTATGTGAGTGGGATGGGAGGTGATCTAGCAGATAGTTCTGAAAGTCTGTGATTCTTTATTGTCCTAACGGAGCATATGGATTTACACATAGAACTTGCTGAATGTGTAGCAGAAGAACAGTAAAGAAGTGCTAATTTCCCCAGAAGTGCATTAATGTACATAGTTACCATTCAATAAAAAAAAAAAAAAAAAAGAAATGCTAATTTTGCGTGGCTCCGGTAGCTCAAGGTAGTAGGGCGCCGGCCCCATATGACAGAGGTGG